TTACCCCATTGGCAGATATTTGTACTCTTTGCCCACAAAAAAAAAAAAAAAAAATTATATATATATATATATATATATTAAGCAGCAAAACTAAATCAGCATATTAGAATGCTTTCTGACATTTTAAAATGTATATAAAAAAGAAACAGTTATTTTGAATTGTAATATTTAACAATATTTCTGTTTTACTGTATTTCCAATCAAATAAATGCAGTCCTGGTGAAAACATCATGGGATTACCACCTGATACCAACACTGTATCATGGTACCACAGTACCGTATCAATGGTCAAAAAGTCGGCAGGAGTTTACACGTGTGTTATTAACTGATGCAATGAGCCATCCTAACACCCAAGCCAAAATTGAAATAACCCCTGAACAAGCACCAGTGTGAATGAACTTAACCCCTGCTAGCTCTAGGTGGGACTATTATAGTAGTAAGTAAATTGTAAATAGATTTGGATAAGAAAGCATCTGATGAATAATGAATAATTAATTCATGCACTCACTGTATGTGAAACTGATGCGTGCTGTGACATCATCTTCACTCGCCATGGTTGCTTGTAAAACTCCAGCCAAAATAATCCATATGGTCCAAAATAAGAGCCAGACAGAGTTTGTGGTTTCCATGGATACTTTCCATTGGACTTTATATTTGATTGCCATGGTTACTGCTTTGCAAATGAAGATGGTTATTTTCCAGGTATCTTTGGTATTCAAATGTGATGTTTACACCCTGTCATTAATTCTTTCAGGTATACTTCTTTCAGTTATACTTAAGGTCACCGGGACCTTGCCATATTTCAATTATGTCCTCAAAGCGGTCAAAGGTGAACGGATATCAGATCCTTGTAGGCAAACAGACATTTATTTTAAAGAACACATTCCTCCTTTTATGGATTATCAATGTAGCAAACTCCAGTAGACTGTCTGGAATCTGCAGAGGGAGAAACAGAAGTACATTTAGTCACATGATCAGACAGAAACTAACACACTGAAGGATGCAGCTTACCTGGGAAGCAATAATAAGAAAATTTAATTTCGCAACAACTATGAGTTACAGACACTCACAGCTGATACAAAAAAAAAACATCTAAAGTCTGAATTAAAGACAAGTAATAAAAATGACATAAAATAAATAGATGTTTCTCAGTTCAAAAGAGACTGATCTCTACATCCACAGCACATGCTTCAGTGTTTTTCTGGGAGAGAGTTTGAATCTCATGTCCTCCTCTGCATGATATTATCCAAACAGAATTTTGTTTGGAGAGAACTCCTCCCTTTTGGCCTGATCAGATTTTAAGGGTGGTATGTCCTGAAAACAGGAAGGCTGTGTAGTCTCTGTAGCCTCAAACACAACACACAAATAAAATTACAAAATCCCATACTGATTACGCTCACATTCTCATTTTCTATTTATTTTTAATATTTGTATTATTAATTTATTTTGGTTTCCTTTTGGAGAAAATTAAATCAGCATTCAAATCCAATTCCAAATAGACTGCCAGTGAATAAACTGTCAGATAGTTCAGGTGTCAATTTTGTCTTTAGCAACCCATAAAATGCAAACAATTTAGACCATTAAACATCCGTTACAAGTACAAGTTGTGCACAAACAGACATGCAGCCTGCAGATAGAACTGCCCTGTGCTCCTGCTTAGACTCGAGAGTTAGAACTGGAAGTCAGGCACTTCTAAATGATTAAAGACCTAGGTAAAAATAAAACATGCTGCTTACACTTACGTGAAC